GACCAACACAATGGAAGAAAAAGTAAGCAGGACTGGTCTCAAGGCCACTAAATGTTGTGGAAGAGGTCAGGGGGGGCTTGAGGGAGGGATACATAGGCTATGTGAAAGGGGGAGGTTTTAATGGCATAGACACTTTTAATTTTCTGTATCATGAGAAAGAATTTCTAAACAACTATACTTGTTGTCAAGCAATAATTTGCCCATCTAAGGTAATAATCAAGATTGATCAGGTCAAATAAATCAGAGTCAGTTTTCTGTATCCATGGCTTTGGGAGAAAAATGATGAAGTCTTTCAAGCCTTTAGAAGGGTTAATATTTTATGAGTGGATAAGAGTGCCATTATAGTGTGTGGGTCATTTCTCTTCTAAGTGAATGTAATCTAGTGTGTTTTCTTTTTAGCTCTTTTCAACTTGGGAAATGGATGACTTACCGTACATATTGAATATTCACTGAATGCATAAGCAGGCATTGAGTATATGTTAAACAATAAAGTTTGTTGAAAGTTATTACATAAGCAAGTTTTAAACAGCTGAGGAGTTTTCTAGGAGTGTATAATAAAAAGGTTGACATTGATCTGGATTGCTAAGCTAGTCTCCCCTGATAGGGAGTCCCTGATAAACCTAAACTGTGACACATTTGGAACCATTTTCTTCTCTACTAGCCTGTATGGTGCTGTGGAAGGAGCCTACAAAAGCTGAGCCGTGGTCCCCATTGTTACCAAGCAGGAATGGTGATGGATTTCAAAGCTTGTGAGGTCAAGTGTATTAATTAAGGTAACTGAACAGGAAGGCCCCAGTTAATCCCTTCTTTTACACATAGTTTGGTTTGATGGATAGAGCCTATCTAGTAAATAAGGCCCAACAAGAATTGATATAACTAAATGGGAAGAAAGAGTAATTAATCCTCCGCCCCCTGCACCTCACATAAGCTCTTAAAATGTCACCTATTAAATGTGCACGCCTCAGGATCCTTTACTAACCATACAGCAGCATTCACACAGTATAAATGTCTGTTATAGGAAGTTAACATGAATGTCAGTCCTATATGCATTGTGCCCAACTATGGAAAGTAGAGATCCTGGGGAAAGCCATGACAAGAGACCAAAATGGGGAAGGACTTCAATGGCCTCTATGCCCACTTATTATTAACAATATAAGATATGAAGACAGGGACTTCCTTTATTTCTGTTAAAGGACCACTCTAGGCACCCAGACCACTTCAGCTTAATGAAGTGGTCTGGGTGCCAGGTCCCTTTTTTTTATAAACATAGCCGCTAGAGGCGTTTGCATGCTTCTCACTGTGAAAATCACAGTGAGAAGACGCCAGCGTCCATAGGAAAGCATTGTAAATGCTCCTGCCGCACATGCGCATTCAGCCGAAGAGGAGGATCGGAGGCGGAGAGAAGGAGGAGAGCTCCCCGCCCAGCGCTGGAATAAAGGTAAGTTTAACCCCTTTCCTCACCACCCAGCCCGGCGGGAGGGGGTCCCTGAGGTTGGGGGCACCCTCAGGGCACTATAGTGCCAGGAAAACGAGTATGTTTTCCTGGCCCCATAGTGGTCCTTTAAGGGAGCCTTCTGTTGAGTACACCCTGGTTCCGTACTTGGGGTACTGAGCACAAGGCATCCCTAACCAATTAGTTATCCATACACCCTTATCCCACATCATAAGGGAAGTACCTCTATAGGAGACCCCTTTCCTGTGTTATAAACACTGCAACTCTCGTACATGGAGTAAGAGGAGAGTATGTATTTAGGGACAAGGAAAATCATAATCGGGGTCCCTTCTGATTAATAGTGTGAGGAGTTTAAGTTGTATTGTTGAAGGAATTGCATTTTGATTTATGTATGCACATTGCAATAATAAACAGTAACTAATGTTAATAAACAGACTGTCGTAACCACCTCGGAATATCATAACAAGTAAAATTGCAATGCTCAAACATTCATTCGAACAAACAAATGTTATTTAAGGTATAGCTAATGATGTGGTTTTCTTTTGCATTTCACATCTACAGCGCGATTCCTCAGGATGTAAATCTCATTTTTCAGCCACGATAGACCTAATAGTTAAAGAGCATTTACTTCTGTTAAATAGGGGATGCAAGTGCATTTGAATGCTCTAAATAAACCATCAGATTTTCAGGATGAAGGGAAATGGATGGTTTCACATACAGGCAGTTTATATGCTGATAAAATGATTGTTAATGGTTTCAGGCTGTTCTAACTGCACGCTGTGGATCTTTCTTTATGTAGGTATTTCTGAAAAATGCCTCAAGTAAGATGTGTATATAACTCTGCCCAGCCAGATTCATCACAGTTTCGGCATAAATTAATCATTTTAAGCTTCCTAAGCAGCTGCAATCAACTGATTTTAGTGAGTGAAAAAAAAAAATCTTCCTTCCAGCAGTGTGAGAAATATCCATTCAACAACAAACTATATTAAATGAGAATTGGTTGCTTGTTCAATTACTGTTAAATGGACGCTATTTAAACCTAATAAAATGATCAGGTTTGATCAACAGAAGCATTGACTTGAAGTGAGCATTACTCAGTGGCAGGATTATTCTGCAAACTCTTGAGGTGTAGAAAATTAAAATCAGAATTGCAAAACAGAGGCTAAATTAGCCAGCCAGTGGCTTTGACCAAGTTAGAATTTTTTTCCAGATCACTATTTTTGAAAAAAATGTGTCCATGAGGATGTTAACTCTCTAGAATCCACTGATTTGTAAATAATCCTGAAAGTCTTTGCTATGCATTAAACTGGTGTCACCAATCAAAGCGGCAATTGCAAGCAATTTTTTCTGGAGCGAATTGTTAGATCTGAAAGAATACCTATAGAAACCAATAAAAAAATTTCTACTGTTTGCATCAATGTTTTATTTTTAAATGTATCTAGATTTGCTCTTTATGCATATAGCTCTCTGTTGTGTACAAGAGGTATATTTGCTCATATAGCTCGTTTGAGCAGGGCCCTCTTCAACCTGTAAGTGTATTGTTCCTGTAAGTTTTTGTAATTGTCTCATTTATTGTTAAATCTAACCCTTTAATCAAATTATAAAGTGCTACGGAATATACTGGCGCTATATAAATACCAGTAATATTAATAATTTGAATATAACTGTTCAAACGAATATTCTGCAGCAGTTGTGGTAGAGGAATGTAAGAGATAATTCACTCTGTGCGGCGAGACACATTGCATATCATATACAAAATATCAGAAATTCACTGCTCCAATCCTAAAATCCTTGGTGTTAAAACCCATTTTCCCTACTTGATGGAGTTGGGGTTTTTTCCTACACCACATGTTGGCCTACATTTTTCAAGTTGGCAACCAATTCACCTGCTTTGTGAATAAACCCCTGTATATTTGCAAATTTTAACATATGAGGGACAAAGCATACAATAGACCAAATTTTAAAATAAAAATAAAAATTGGACTCTTCAAAATATTGGTTGTGGTGTTCACATTCACACTGTCCATATGTTCTTGATGATTTTCATAAATATATCATTGGGGAAAAAAAAGTATAAAATAGGTACTAAGAATTTATCTCTAGGTATTTGGAGGTATGTGGAATAGAAAAAGTGAAAAAATGTGGGGCTTACTAATGATCATGACCAAAAAAAAAAATCACAAATGTTTTGAAACTGTACCGTGATGCAATAAAATCTCACAAACTGTAAGCAAAATTCGGCCAGCTTGAAAATAAAAAAATGCCAACTATGGCTGCAACTTTCAAACATTTTCATATTGAAATATCCTATTAATCACTCCTGTTAATACTAGTCACACATGTTAATACTAGTATCAATTATTAGCATAACTGTATTAGCAAATTTAAATAATTAAATAAGTAATTATTTTAGTACCATTTGCAACTCAGCTATTTCAGCATGCACACTGAAAATCAGTGAACTGATCACTTAATAGATAAATGTCATAATCCTTTGCAAACATAAAAAAATCAAATAACCATATATGAAGTAGAAAAAATGAGAATAATTAGCTTTGGGGGGCTTTTAGCCAAAGGAAAGTATTTCACACTCTTCTTGGGGTTCACAAACTTTGAGTACTTAATGCATTCACTTTGGTAACCTTCTGTCCCCTGAGATACATGGGCTACGAATATTGGTTACTATATCATTTATAATAGAAAAAATAAAACTAGCGTAAATTGTAAAGTGATTAAAATATATTTAACTACCCCGATATGGTACCAGTGGAGTTTTAAAGATTGTGTGGAAAAATTTTTAAAGCTGCGCTTTAACAAGTGGACAAAAATAAAGAAATATTTTTTCTTTCCAACTTCCAACTCTCCTTCCATATTAATATTATTTATCTAGAGCCAATAAATTCTACAGCGCTCTACAAATATAGAAAAACAATATTTAGAGGTAACCCTTGCTATAAGGTATATAACATTGCAAGATTTAAACACACATTCCTATAGATGAAGCTGGGCTTTGCCATAAAGGTAGTTGTGGTCATAGTGTGTTTTTTTTTTTTTTTTTTTTTTTGAAAGGGACAAAATTCTATTGGCTTTAGGAGTCATTTCTCCAACCAGAAGGAAGCGTCTAGAACTGTGATATCTATATGTGGCAAAGTAGGTGTTTGTGAACAACTGTTTTGGTATGGTTAACCATCAAGCAGAGCCCAAGCTAGTCATTACTACTAGAAAACATAGCATTGCTCCAAATTAACCTTCACTTTCATACCATTGACTCTTATTATTATTATTAACCATGCTGCATGAACTAATTATGATTTGCAATTCATTCATTTAATTTTTATGTGAACTACAGTAGTTATTTGACCCAGAAAATATTTTTATTATTAAATTTTCTTATGTTTTGCAATTGTATTCAGGTAGGAAAAGGTAATTTAACAAAGATGAAATAAACCTGGGTGACTTTTTTTTTTTTTTTTTTCAAATATATTGTACCAACATCAAAATGTAATGCAGCAATTACATACAAAGTGTTTCTGGAATAACTTAAGAGCACAATGTTAATAAAATGTGTGTGTTTGTGTGTGTATATATAGGTATGTATATATATATATAAAAACTTGTTTTCATTGAGAACAAATTAATACAAAGCCCACCCAGGAAAATCTATAGAGCTTTAAACACACTCTTCTTACGTTAGTTTCAACAATATCCAAATAGTGTTTCCTTGCAAACTGCTCAAAAAATGTCCTCTTTCTTGTACCCCACATTAAATATCAATATGTATTCAAAATAAAGATCACAAGATACTTGAATAGAATACACCTTTTATGAAATTAAAATGCAAATGCTAACAATCAACTATCAATTTCACAATGTAACCAAAATAAACTTTGTTCATGTGTATTAACATTATTTTACATGTAGCCAAAGGCTAGCATGGGATGTGCCTTAAATATCAACTTTAATACAGTACAATCCTGGTAAGTATCAAGATAACCAATTGGCTATATTCTTCTTACCATTGATGTTATTCGGTAAATGGAAAAGCAGTCCTATAACTTTCTGAGTTCCAAAGGGAATGAGCAGCTTATTGCATTGAATCCTATCAGAAAGTCACCGAGTTCTTATGAATTCAGTGTCATTACAGTGTTGCTCAAATGACGCTTGCAATTTTGAAAGCATCATTTTAGCCTCTTCAAAGGATACCCAAGGCAATTGCACCTCTCTAGCATACAAATTTCTCAATTTAAAACTTACTAATGTTATTTTTCTGTTTGTTTCGAGGTTTTTTTCTGTCTTGTGCAGTTATCCAGGAAAAATATTTTTGCAAAATTATTTACTTTTTATGTTTATAGCTAATAAAAGATGAGGATGAAGTGCAAGTAAGTCAAATAACTGCATCAATGAAATGGCAAGGACATGCAAACCAAGTATCTGTCAAACAGTCAGCTATACAATCCGCCATTAGAAATCAGCCGAGAAATTGTCACTTTATTTTTCTTTTTTATTATTCTATTCGTTCTTCCAGGTGCGTCTGAGACTCCAGAAGATGTGATACAAGGAGGCCCGCCTCACTTGTCAAATTTCCTTGTATTAAAGTGAACTTTTGCACAAAAGGGTCAGTGTCAAACCAGTGAATTCCCCCCAAAATGTCCTCTTTTCTTGCCCCCATATTTATATGTCCATAGAATTTTTACAATTTTATTTTACTTTTTTTTTTGCTCTTCCCTTTTCAAGTGCCACAGCAGAAAAAAAAAGTGTGTGATTTCCCATCCCAATGCTCACACAGTAGCATAAAAAAAATCACTTAATTCATAGATTATTTAAGAAATATATTTAAAAGTTCTGTCTCTGTGTTGTGTCTGGTATTACATGGTTGTTTGTAGTCATATTGGTCCCTCACCCACCGCCAAAAATGCGAGTACAGTACTTCTTAGTTAGTGATACCACTTAGTGGACCAATATTGAAAATGAACCAAGTATTTGGCGGAGAAAGACTTTCCAGAATGCCTTCTCATCCAAGATGGCGGTTGTCTTTTTTTGGATCCCTCCACCATTCAGAAACATAAAGGTGAGGGTTTTGGTTTTGAGGTTGAGACTCCAGATCATAAATAAAAAGTTTGAGATAAAGTCTGTAGGGCCCTGCTTGCAAAGGGCCCTTGCGGGTCTAGTCACAGTCCCAGTGCAGCTGCGTGTTTTTTGGCTTTCAGTCTGAGGTCTGCGATACTGGAGTTCTTGCTGGTGGTTTTGGCCGCAGCTGCCGCAGCCACTACTGACGCAGCCGTCGCTGTCTCTGCAGCCAAAGTTGCCAACGGGAGGCCAAAGGGCGGAGCTGGAAACATCATGTAGGGGGCGTGTGCTGTGAGGTGAGGGTGGAGATGATGATGGGCGTGAGCCACCGCACTGTCCAGCTGCAACTGTGCCTGCACCTGGAAGGACAAGGATGGCACGTTGCAATGACTATCCTAAAAATAGTATTGCGGGCAAGCAAGAGCAACAAGGAGGGAACAAAAAAAACAACAAAGCATTAACACAAATCAAACGGATTTTAGAAGCCCTACATATCATTTGTGGATTATTTGATCCTGGGTAAATTGAAGAGTCCGCATAACACCTATTTATGTACGCTCACAGACTATACCAGGCATAGGCAACATTCGGCACTCCAGATGTTTTAGACTACACCTCCCATGATGCTTTGCCAGCATTATGGGTGTAAAAGCATTGTGGGAAATGTAGTCCCCAACATCTGGAGTGCCGAAGGTTGCCTTCCCCTGGACTGTACGTTTGTTTGTTTGAGTGGGCCTTCTTCACCTCTTGTCTCTGTTATATTCCGTATGTAAATAACTTGTTGTCAAATACCCCCATTTTATAATTGTAAAGCGCTGTGGAATACGTAGGTGCTATATATATAAAAATAATGATATTAATGCTGTTAGGAGGTGAGATATGCACTATTTCTTGTGGCGGGAAACTGCTTAGGAAATCTTGTTATTGGTAAATGTAAAAAGTCTGGATCCTGTGTTAATAAAGCATTTTTATAACCGATTATATATTTTGAGAGGGAGTTTTGAGTTCCATGTTATTGTTTAGGCGTTTTGAAACAAGTTTATAAATCTTTGTTATTGTTAATAAAGCAAATTTTGGAAACTTATTACTGTAAAAAAAAAAAATGAATCCTTGTCATTGTCAATAAAGCAAATTTGAGATCCTTATTGTTAATGATGGTTTGTGAATGCGGGTAAATCAAATTTCCGAATTCTTGCTATTGTCAATAAAAAAAAAAAAAACATTAGAAAGCTACGGTTCCACTGCACTGGGTTCTGGAACGTTGCTTTTTATGAACTGTGCGACACATATAATAACTTTGATAGGAAACAGTCCAAACGTTCTAAGCGGTTTAAATTATTATCCAGGAAATGGAAAAGCATTTCATAAACTCGGAGCGTTTAATTGGTTGATATAATTTAAAGAGTCAGTGAGACCCTGACAGAACTGTATTTATCATAATGAGTAATAATTAGTTATAATGAAATTATAATTATTCATAATGAAACTATAAAAAAAAAAAGATTTATAACCGTTAATTTTAGAATCAAATAATTACGATTTACAAGAATTAGATTTAAAACATTTACATTGTGCAACACTGTGTGCAATACTGTTCTTGGGACATTTAATGATATAGCATTCTGTAATAAATGTATATTAAATTAAACAGCCTATTTTAAATTAGCGAAATAAAAAAAAGAAAACGAATATTTTCGCACGAGTAAAGTGCTGGAAAAAATTACTAAATTTCATTTTATCTAACCTACAAATACAGAGCGTGTATTTAGCCCTTCTGGTTAAAATCGGGATCAGACTTAATTATTGAAGAAATAAAATATATTCTATATATTTAATCCAAAAAACAAAACTGCTTCAAAACCAGTGAAATCGACTTTTAAAAAATGAAAGCGATTTATTATTGAAACAAAATCAATCGAAGTTACTTTCCCAAACTGGTCTCTGTGATCACGCAGTGATATGTACTAATTGTGCCCTGATTTTACCGCTAGGAAATATTGTCTAATCAGAGCTCCTTAGTGGGAAGGGAAGCAATGATGTCATGCTTTCTAAATGAGCAGCATGTACAGACTATAAATTATTAAGTAGAAGGCTTTCATTGCAGCCATTATATAAACACATGCCATTTTGACACATATCTCCATATATTGTTCTAATAGAGTTCTTTTAGAATCGACATCGTTACTTTTCATCCAGGAATTGAGACATGCAGATGTGTGTGACAGCTAGTGGTAAAACACAATACTTGCCTGCTGGAATGGCATCCTCAGAGCTCCCACATTGACATAAGGTGCTACACGACAGGCTTCAAACTGGCTTCCAGCTCCTATCAGAACCCCTGTGAGCATTGAGACACAGACAGCACGATCAGAGCTGCTGGACACCTTCTGTACCATGCAAGCATCCTGATATAACACAGCTAACTGCCCTTACAAAGCACTCACAATTAGTACATGTGTAGGGCACCAGGGCAAGCAGATAGCATGGATCCTACAAATTGTTAACCTGTGCAGAGCCTGAACAACACAACAGACACAAACATGTACACACACATATATATATACATACACAGACATACATACATATTAATATACACATATATACAATACACACACAAATATATATACACACACACACATAAGACAGATAGATAGATAGATAGAAAGATAGTATATGCATCACTTTAGTTTCTATTTTAACAATGTGTTAATAAATATTGAGTCCTTTCTGTCAAGATTAATAATTCACCACTTTGCATATATTTTTCTCTAGTAATAAACTAGAATATATATATAAATATATATACAGTATACTTTAAAAATAAGTTCGATGTACCTTTATGTAGCTGGTTTTCCTGTTTTCTGCATTTTGCTCTTCTATTTTGAAACCAGACCTAAGTTAAGAAAAATCATGGCAATGAATCACTATTATTATAATAATACATTTTTTTTTAAAAAACGAGAGAGAGAGAACATTAGATCTGGATAACATGCTATGCAAAATATAAAAACAATATATTTATTAATATGAAGTGTTAGAATAAAATCTTTGCTGAACAAAATATTGTGTAAAATGTTGCATTACACACACACACACACACATAATGAAACTATAATATGTGTGTAGTACACAGTGATAATGTCAATCAGCTGTGATTTTAAAAAAATGAAACACCAAAGCATTTAATTAGTAGCGATTTTGGGATAATTAGAAGCCATAAAAGCATTACTACAAAGACGTTTCGGGTTTGTCTGCTCCTCTGTGCATTAGACAATAACACAGAAGCTGCATAATTGTCTCATTATTATGATAATCGCATTTGCTCCCTAAGAGAACAGCAACAGCTCATATGGACCACGGTTCCCGAATACCAGGGAACAAATAATGACTGCTATTACACCAAGACATCACCCAATCACAAGAAATAACAAAAAAAAAAACTTTTACATGCTGACTACAGATCGATAGAAATACAATCCAAACAATGGTCACATTGTAACATTGTAATGGGCTTTATCTATATAGTGTATTTACTGGATACCAACAGAATTACACTTGTTACAAGTGGAATTAACACATTTGTATGCAATAAGATTATATATTATTATTTTTATTATATAATATCATTATGGAAATTATATAATATATTTATAAAAAAAATATATAAATATATACTCTTATTCCATGCAAATGTAATATATATTTTTTTTAATTTTATTTTATTTTTTTATTATTATTCACATACATACAAATAATTAAAATACACACAAACACATACACCTATACATACACATCCTTGCATCATTATTGCTTAGTCTCACTGCTGTCTATATATCCTAGTCCCCCATTCATATAAACCCCATAAGAATTCCCTGGCATATTCTAGTGCAGATGGTGGTTCTATAATAACAAAGATCTGGGGTCTGCCACTAACACGGATACATTGTAACACTAGGAGCACACCATGTGCTGAGATACGGAAAGTATGACTGGGGGTGCCGGAGGTACTGGGGGATTAGTTAGAGCACAAACGGAAATGTACAGGGTAGAACAGGCCAGGACAAAAACACAATTATCCACAAATAATGCATTTCTTTAACTGAACGGTTTAATTGTCTGATGGGCTATCATAAAATAAAATGTATTTCTAAATACTTATATTAATTCATCTTGGAAAGTACTCCTTCTAGTCTCTGGCCGTCTGAATCCATTATATAGAGATACAAATTATTAAGTAATAAAATAGTCAAAGTTTATCATGAATAAACTATTTGGGGATGATCATTTTTGTTATGGCTACTTCATAAAGTGCGTAAATAATACATATTTCTAAATATAATTTAAATATTGCAAATTATATATATAATAATTATATTATATATATATATATATATACACACACACACACGAATATATATAATTGGATAGCTACTAAACTAAAGAGCTGACTCTTACACTTTGAATCCAAATGAATGTATTGATTAAGTAAAGCACAAACATTACAGACTAAATGGATATGACGCAATGCTCTTATTTATTAATAATTCAGTTTATTACAGTCGGAGAACACATTGCAGTCACCACACATAAACAGTAACATAACTAAAAGACTGGGAGTCAGTAGCTGACTGATAAATGATATATTATATAAATACTGCAAAACTGGTGTCTGCAACATTAGTTATTTTGTTTAGATGAAGGCGTTATTTTACGATATAAAATTTTTTTTTTTTTTTTAATCAAAATTAATAAATTGTCTGAATGTGGGCTTTGAATGGCTTAGTAGTAGAAGCTATTGAGCTAGCATTGCTGTTTATTATGGGTAACGGGTAACTTTTCGAACACCCACTCTTGTGGAATGCAATTCTCATGAAGCTTAGCCAGCGTCACCACCAGTGTCAGTGCCAAAGCCAAGGCTGATCCCTGGATGATAAAGAATCTTGTGATGGGAGTAGTGGGTACAGGGAGGTGATATCAGACAGATAATGACCAGTACCTGGACTCTGGCCTCAGACAGCCCTAGCCTTTGGCTCAGTTCTTCTCTCATGAAGGCATCAGGGTAATGTGTCTCATCAAACAATCGTTCCAACTCGTTCAGCTGTTCCAAAGTGAAATTAGTCCGACTCCTTCTCTGCTTGATTTTAGTCTGCCCCTCATCCTCTAACACTTTCAAGTCATCTTTTCGTTCTTTCATTTCAGGAGACACTAATCCAAAAGAGACATTCATTAATTTTAAAAAATGTAAAAAATAAAATAAATAGCAATAATAATAATAATAATAATGATAATAATAATAATAATACAAATAATAGTGTAAGCTATATAAATGGCTGTTTGTGTACAGGCTGGTTCTGCCTATTGCTGGTCTATCTACCCTGGGGTTTTATAATGTGTAGCTCTATGAGAAGTCATGTTTATTAAAATCAGTAACTGGTTTACTGTAAACCAATTTGCCATCTTTAATAATATCATAAAAGTCTGTATGTTTGTGTATTTGCCCCCACTGAGCCTCACTTTAAATTGCAGTAATGTTGACCATTAATATTTAATTTCTGTAAATAAATTCCCTTGTTTAATTATGCTAAAGCAGTGATTGGCAATTATTACAAGATACAATGTGGTTTTATTTGGAACTTTTGATTTATTGAGAAATAAATAAATTAAACCACTTACAATATTAAACTGTATGTATGTATGTTGCAGATGACATATCATGTTATAGGATAATGAATTTGGGGGTCGGTAGACCACCGGGATTCAACACAGCAGGGAAGCCTGCCAACATAAAACCTACTTATAACACTGATTTATACAGAGACAGACAGACAGACACATAGATAGATAGATAGATAGAGTATATTTTAGGGACAAATTATATAAAATTATATATTTGGAACAAATTATATAAAGATCCCAGTCTAAATCAAATCAATACATTCATTTAATAGTTAACTATTTAATCAATGAGTTGGCCTGTCACCTCCTTGTAGTCCTGTAGTCCATAAGGCCAGGATAAAGCAACCGGTGCTCAAGAAACTGTTTTGTTTTTTTAAATCCCAAACCACCAGCAGCAAATTGAGTGTAGCAGACTTTTACCTGCTTATTTGCATTGGTTATGGTTTATTTATTATCCTCACAATTGTAGCAATTTGAAAACTTAATGGCAAAATTTAGGCAAAAATATCTGATTTAAGATAAAAACCAAAAAAAATCCATCTCTGCTATAGTCCCAGCCTGGGTATTTTAGCTTGAATGTGACTGTCCTGATTTCAGTTGGCTTCAATTCGCAGTTTAGTAAATAAAGCCCAAAGTGTGGCTGCAGGTCAGTGCTTCCTATGGCTGGCTAGATGAGAGTGCGGAGCAGCCGACACGTGTTTGCCTGGCTCTGTGCTCAGCCCTGCTCTGGGCTGCAATTTGTTTAGGAAATTATTTCCTGGTGCTGTGCTATGCAAGCTTCCGATGAGCTAACGAATTATTATTTAAACAAAGGTCTGAAATAAACAGATCCACTGATTGTATCCACACTTTGTGCCCTGTGCAGACATTCAAATAGTCTGATTGTACTGGGCTTTGATTAAACAAATATTGGAGTTTAGATGGAATCAAGGTGAACACAGATATTATGTATACCTATAAATAATATATTTAATAATACATTAATGAAGAACAAATATTCTATAAATATGGATAAGAAGTACATATTGTATACAATTCATAGGTATGTGCATATGTATACTGCTTTAATATAAAATGTTTAATTTCAAAATGTTATAAATATGTTGGTGTGTTGATTATTTTTTTATTAATGATAAAAAAAAATTGCTGTTTTTTTAATGCATTTAGCATCAGAGCTAGTAACTGGGCTACACAGGTTCGGAATATCGAAATTCAATGTTCTCAGTCTTGTTCTGGTAAGAGACACCCAATAATTGAATTTGTGGCTGTCTAATAATCTAAATAAATGTGACTGTATGTATATATAATTTTTCATATTATATGTCAATTGAAAGGCTAGAGGCATGCTATTAATATGGTATTTTCACTTGGCTTTATAAATAGATTATTTGTATGGGATGTCTCGGGGGGGGGATAAGTAACAGAACTCCTCTGAAGGGATAACTGGCCAGTGTAGCAATAGGTCTGTACAATGTATAGATTACTGCAGAATAATGCACAGATGGAGGCTCCTGCTACGGGCGGTTATTATCTCATGTTTGTAATCCGATCCCTCATTCTAGACCTTCTCATAGGGAGTTATTAACTAAACAGTGAATTGTTATACGGAATCTTACGATGTAGGCCAAAACCGCAAAATTGGGAAAATTGTCAAGAAATCTTTGCCATTTTAAAATGGACTTTGCAATTCAGTTCCAAATCACTACAATTGACTGTAAATAAACCATAATGTGTATTTTGTAGAAATAGCTAATATTATATTATTAGATTTTTTTGCAAGTTCATGGATACCAATCTAAGGGATGGTATAATTGCTTTATCATAGGGATATTTTCTAAATTGAGAATTCAAAGTGAATTTTAAATTTAAGGTTAAACTAGCCCAACTAAAAAAAAAAATCTGCATTTGGTTGGATAATCTGGCCTTAAATTTTAATTCACTTTCAATTCTCACGTTAGTACGCAACCCCTGACAATGTAAATACGATGACCCATATTACCTACTTTATGTTATGTAGAACTGCATTTAATTGTTATGCCTGTGTTAGAGTGTGCATTGTCCCTGTATTAAACATATATATATATAAAGATATATAATAGAACTATAAACACTAAGTTCCCTCTATTTGGTTTTAACATGATTTGGTCCAAAGAGTTGAAATAAAATAATGATTCTATTTATAGTTTTGTTCAATAATAGTTTAGTGATCACGTGTCATTTGATAATGGATGCATAAAAAGGCACACACAAAGAGGCCTGACTGTAAATTGAGATATAATCACTAAACAGTGAGTTGTTTTGAGGTGACAATGTAGGCCAAAATGACTGTTTAAATAAAAAAAAATAAAAAATAAAAAAAATAAAAAAACTTTGCTGAATGGAGATTATAGCTATAGATGTTACATATGGCATGACCATAATGATGGGGGTCACTGTGTAAAGAGAGGTTTTATGATGGCCTGATCACCATATACACAGAGTGATACTAATTATTCGATGTTCACAAAGCATAGAGTGGTTTTAGTTTTGAGTTGCACATCTTGTATGAGACTAACATAGTTATGAGATGTTAAGTGGGTATAGGATTGTTAGAATTATTAGATATTATAATATCTATGTATATATCATGGCTATGATTAATAGGTGTTCCAATATCTATGTATATAGAATAGTTCATAGAGTAGGATGTTACAATAGTATTGGTATCACGTGGTTATATTCTCTCTGTATAGTATGGCTACAGAACCAGGGTGTTTGCATATATAGTTCAGTATCTATATAGTATAGAGATTATACTAGCTTCGGAGTGTTTAATATATAAATCTACAATCTAGGGTGGTTATAGTTTTGGGGTGTTTAGTATTTAGGAATACAGTAGTTATGGCTTTTGGGGTGATCACATCCAATAGGTAAATAGGTAAATAGTTCTGGGATGTTTCAGTACCTACATAAAGGGTGCACAGAGTTTTGGAAGATTCAGAATCTCTATGGAAGGTTAGAAGTTTGTGTATAAGATGGTTATAGTGTTAGTTTGGGGAGTCAGGACATATATTTATATTCCTACATAGAGTTCTAGGGTGTTGCTGAATGTATAGGTATAGTTTTGGAATGTTCAATATCTGTATGTATGGAATTTATAGTTTGTGTATTCCAGATAGTGATAGTTTCGGTACAGCATGATGAAACATTATAGTTCAGGAAACAAATACCGGAAAATGTTTTTACACGAGGTGTGCTATATACTGTGTGTGGATGTAGTTTTAGGTTGTTATATGTGGGACGTGTCTAGTCTGGAGGTGATCTCTCGCTATATGATTCTTAGACATGGGGTATATGCAGTTCTGGGGGTTCTCTAGGGGATGTCTGTAGATATGTTGTGTTCTGTTGTTTGGGATGTTCTACAGGGGATGTTTGTTATTTTGGGGGATGTTATATGGGATGTTTGTAATTTTGGGGGTGCTATATGGGATGTTTGTAATTTTGGGGATGCTATATGGGATGTTTGTAATTTTGGGGATGCTATATGGGATGTTTGTAATTTTGGGGATACTATATGGGATGTTTGTAATTTTGGGGATGCTATATGTAATGTTTGTTATTTTGGGGATACTATATGGGATGTTTGTAATTTTGGGGATGCTATATGGGATGTTTGTTATTTTGGGGATACTATATAGGATGTTTGTAATTTTGGGGATGCTATATGTAATGTTTGTTATTTTGGGGATACTATATGGGATGTCTCTAGTTTAGTGGGACCCTGGGTTCACTGTATCAATGCATGGACAATAAAAGCAGTGGGTACCTACCCTCTGTGAGTTTGGGGCTCCCCGGGTCCCTGATCCTGTCTGCGGTCAGTTCGATCTCCAGGACTGGTGATCTGGCGCCTCCTCCTCCTCCACCTCCTCCTCCTCCGCCGCCTCCCCCTCCTGCCCCCCGGATCACCGGGACCCCGTCCTCCCGGAGCCCTTCCCCGCAGCCGGGCTCCTTGCCCCGGGCCGGCCCGCTCTCCAGCACCTCCCGGTAAGTGATCAGCTCCTTCTTCTCCTTTATCTTCTGATCAAACGATTTGGACACAAAAGCAGTGAGTTCTTCCATGGCAGCTAGTGGTAGTAGAGTAATGATAATAGTGATAATAATAAGCTGGGGGTCTTCCTCCTGGGCTCTCTCACACCTCAATCATAAGACATTAAGGGGGCTGAGAGTGCAGGAAAACCCCACTCAATCCCCCTCCAAGCAGATCCTTGTCAAGCCTCCCTGCTAGGACTCTCACATCAGATAGGGATGTGCTATTGAAGTCCCAGTATTTATACTTTGCAAAGCCTGCCCCTTGTTCACAGCAAATTACCTCCCCTTGAAAGTATCCCTGAATCCCCCTGTCTCCCCTGGCAGCATCCTAGCAGCACCAGCAGAATATCACTGGAGCCCTACAGGTTCCCACATCATTTGTGGTCAGCTAGCTATTGGCCATTAATCCCCCAGATTGACAAGAATCCCTAATTAATTGAGTTAAAGCCTTGCCTGTGCCCTGGCTGAGACACAGGGGAGAGGGGGCAGGATCTGAGCAGGGGAGTGGCCAAAATCAACCCAGCAAGTCTGCTCCAGGAGAACAAGAGACTTCTGCAAATTGATGAGGGACAGGTCCAGGGGTGACACCCTGAACACACCCATGGGTCCTCTTCACCTGTCCTGCCTGCTCTCAGGAAGGGTGTGACGGGATTCTGGGGGCCAGTGTCCTTGATTTAAAGATCAGATTTCAAGGATCAATAGCTTCAGACATTTAACCCTTTAATAACTAATTACATATAGCTCATCAAATAGTCTGTACAGCATCTAGGGGGTTAATACATATATTAACATCCACTGTCTGTGTGGAGAGGGGACCTGGTGTTAAAGAAACAATAATTATTATAATAAGGTTTTTTTAATTCTCACTTTGAAAAGAATGAAAAGTTATCAGAACATTTCATAATTTTATTGATTATTTTATTCATTAGTTGGCGGCAAAAATATGTTAATGTAAACAAAAAAATTTCAAAAAGCCAGTTTTCTAAAATAATTTCTCGGCATTGGTAATTTAAATCATAAGCAGTTGTGATCTCGTCCAAGCGATACATAAATACTTGTTGGTGTGTTCGGCGTTCAGTGATTGTATCAAGCAATGTTAGCAGTTATTGATGTGGATGGATTGAAACTTTGATTCTGAAATGGAACGTTAAGTCTAGTCTAGTTAAAAGCTGAATATTAAAATATCTATTTGGAAATTATTCAAACCAATGAGTTTCTGAATCCAAGGCTGAATGATTGATTTTACCCAAATAAACTGAACCATTACTGCCTCCTGATTATGAATAATAATTATGATAATTTTTTTGTATTTATGTATAATTGTTCATTATGCTTATAATATTCCGTGTTTCACGGTAATGCAGGCTGATTCCACTGGATTACACGATTCTGTATTTTTACACCTTTGAAAGAATTGCCATCAATTATTTATTTTGTTTAACTCTGGGCTTATATATTGATTTTTTGCCTTTTGACCTTTTCAGATGTAACAAACCACGGAAGTATATTTATGTCTGTGTCTCAGATTTTGACCTCTTCTTCTGTATAATGAATGAAACATATTAATTAAAGGATTTTTCACCACTGTATTCTATGATCATTAGGAATTCGCTATATAGATAGACAGACAGACAGGCAGACAGATAGATAGACAGATAGATTTTTTAAAAACGCTTTGGGTGCAATATATGGCTTTGTTGAAAGCTGGTGTAAAATGTATACAATTATTTCCTTATTTCGTTTTTTATAATTTAATTTAGCTTTTACGAGAACTATACTAATGAATTATTTAGATGTGCATTTTTAAAGAAAAGAAAGAAAATCGATATATGTCAACAGAGAAAGTATAGCACTCAATTAAGCACGAGTCTGTCTATCTATCTATCTAATCATTGTCTATCTATCTATCTATCTATCTATCAATCTATCTAATCATTTATATACTAAAGAATAGTTGATCACGAGTTGCTAATTATATAAACTTATTTTATTAAAACACATAATATAAATATGTTTCCGTATACGATAAAACCCCTATTACAAACACAATATAAAATTGCCTTTTAGAGTTTCAAATATATTTTAGCAAAGAGTATGGTAGCAGTCGATAACACGAATTTGGCCGAATTCTTCCGAGTACTCAAGGCATGCTGTCCAGACCAGGTAGCTCAGGTCATGCTGGGTTCCATCATTCTACTCAACTATTCATTTCCATCACTGATCACTGTCAGGATAACACGTATTTACCGCTACATGTAACATTGTATCACTACTCTATATATATAAGGGAAACTATACATATTGGTAAAAAGTAGCTAACAGATGGAAATGGAACAAATGGAAATGTCACCAACAATATTTCAATGCGCACTATAAACCATGTGCTTGGTTTTGTTAAGAAAGCATTTGTAAGGAAGTAACAGGTCCACTTGTTCTGGTTGCTGTAGAAGCTTTAGGTTTGTAGTGTTCTGATGCTCAGATCCTTTCAAGCTGGCCAATTCTCTGCTCATTGTGTGAATGGCAAACACCACTCCAGCTGTCCCCTCTGTGCTGTAAAATGGCTCAGGCAGATCACTGCAGGTCACTTAGGCTCATCAGATCAGTGAGAGGATACAGCATTGCTCCCCATGTTAGATTATTGCACTATGCCTGCTTATTTTCCCATGTTAGGTGATTACATTCATATTCACTATTACTGTCCCCATTTTCGGTTAATACCCTGTTATTTTTCACACTCTTACTTTCAATCAATATTTTTCATTGAAATAATTCTAAATACCAATATTGATAAGATCAGTGATATTCAGTGTGTCCCATTCATTTTTTAACAGCGTTCTTGTTAATAACTTCACATTTAGCGGTTTGCTCTTTAAACAGGGTGTCATAATACTTTAAGAAACGAATATGCTAAATAAGGGCACTATAACGGTAGGGGAGAAAAAACCTCTTCAATTTTATTATCACTTGATTATTTGTTGCCTATATGTAGGGTTTTATAGAAATAAACACTGGTAGTTTTGCAACAAAAATTTAATTTGCATATTCTACTCTTTCAAAGAATGAATCATTAGTGAACTGTATTTAGGGTCTAATAAAGGTAGCATTTTCAAAAATATTATATGTTGTAGAAAAGTGTGTATTTAGAAGTATATATTCGAAATGGACGTGTTTATAATTAAAACCAGTAGAATTTGCCAATGCATGAATGTATACTTGTAAATACAGATTTATCTAAAATCATAAATGGAAGTGTATTTTCTACATATATGTAGGGATCATTCTTGCGTGTTTAGAAGTAACATTTCTCTGGCAATTTAAATGTTAGCTTTCAACACAGTAAAATGTTTGTCATGTACAATGCCAATGCCAACATCAACACCAAAACCAGGACCATGTATACCATACCAAAACCAATACTTATTAATGGTGCCAATCCTGCATATTATTATATTTCTCCTATTGTCATTCCTCCTGTTCATCTGCATGTAGCATGTCATTTTATCATTGTGTGAGTGTTTGTGTGTATATATATATATATATATATATATATATATATACACACACACAATGATAAAGTGTGTGTGTGTAAAAAACCTAAAGTTGTTAATTATATATCCAGATGGTGCTTTGCAGAGTGTCTCTATAAACCGGTTACAATGTGTCCCAGTGCAGAGAACTCTAAGGATGTGATAAAGTAATGGTAATGCGCAATGTAATCGGATTATAATCTAATGATGAGATATGTCTGTCCCAATACCATTATGTACTTGTTGCACAGCCCCGGGGACCATGTGCCACAGTGGCTAGTAATCTGCCAGTGATGATAATTGGGATATTAATTAATTACAGTGAGTTGCCATGCTATGACTGTCCTGTATGATGTTCAGGGCTGGATGGGCTGCAGTGAGACAGTCTAGGAAGGGATATTACTGATATTAGATAACACACTGTATTGATCGCTCCTATCAGCTATTCTTAAACCGCTTCAGCAGTGTCTGAATGAGCCAAACGCCCAATCCACTAATCTGCCTCAGATTGCTTCAGTCTGATCTCTGCTGGCGTCTGGGTTCGATTGCTCCCGTCTGGCGCTTTGCTTGCAGCGTGCATCCTGCAGACTGAGCTCCGGTGTGCGGTACTTCCGGTGAGAAGAATACAACTTTATTGTTCTGTTTATGTCCGTTGTGCTGTGTGTATTACAGAGGGTCTGCTGTGAACCGATAATCCAATCATTTATTGGCGCGTTACTGCGGTCTGGGCCTGTGTTCTGACCAGGGATTGTTTGCTGGGTTCTGTTGGTGGGTTAGCTGTGCAGGTTTTCATGTTAAGACATTACCTGGGCAGTGAGGGGGGAGGCTGTACAGACATTACCTGGGCAGTGAGGGGGGAGGCTGTACAGACATTACCTGGGCAGTGAGGGGGGAGGCTGTACAGACATTACCTGGGCAGTGAAGGGGGAGGCTGTACAGACATTACCTGGGCAGTGAGGGGGGAGGCTGTACAGACATTACCTGGGCAGTGAGGGGGGAGGCTGTACAGACATTACCTGGGCAGTGAGGAGGGAGGCTGCCAGACATTACCTGGGCAGTGAGGGGAGGCCAGCCAGACATTACCTGCAGTGAGGGGGGAGCCTGTACAGACTACCTGGCAGTGAGGGGGGGAGGCTGTACAGACATTACCTGGGCAGTGAGGAGGGAGGCTGTACAGACATTACCTGGGCAGTGAGGGGGGAGGCTGTACACACATTACCTGGGCAGTGAGGGGGGAGGCTGTACACACATTACCTGGGCAGTGAGGGGGGAGGCTGTACAGACATTACCTGGGCAGTGAGGAGGGAGGCTGTACAGACATTACCTGGGCAGTGAGGGGGGAGGCTGTACAGACATTACCTGGGCAGTGAGGGGGGAGGCTGTACAGACTACCTGGGCAGTGAGGGGGGAGGCTGTACAGACATTACCTGGGCAGTGAGGAGGGAGGCTGTACAGACATTAAGACATTACCTGGGCAGTGAGGGGGGAGGCTGTACAGACTACCTGGGCAGTGAGGGGGGAGGCTGTACAGACATTACCTGGGCAGTGAGGAGGGAGGCTGTACAGACATTACCTGGGCAGTGAGGAGGGAGGCTGTACAGACATTACCTGGGCAGTGAGGGGGGAGGCTGTACACACATTACCTGGGCAGTGAGGGGGGAGGCTGTACACACATT